GTCTCCGTCACACAAGCCAGGTCAGCCTGTTGTTCCATAATGAAATCCCTAAGGACCATTGTTTTATTGTTAATTGACCTTGCATTGCACAGTACCAATGTCGGAGGGGGGTTACTAATCCTAGCCCCACTGCCGTCATCCTTTGGGATGAGCCGCAGGCTGGAAGGGTGCCGAGCCCTTTTGTTTCTCAGCGCCTTTCCCATACTCCACGGCCTGGGCCCACCGCTGTACTTTCCCCGCCCAAAGAGCACCGGAATCTGTTGACTTTGCATTGCTGCCACTGGCCAGTCCTCGCTGCAGCCCCGGCCTGCCAGTGGTGTGCTCATCAACCGTCCTCCGCGTACTGCTTCCCCCCCAGCTGGTGTACAGTCTTAGCCTCACTCTGCTATACAATACTCCACTATATTGGCTGTAATGAAACCCCCAAACCTAGACACTACTAACCCAACAGTCAGCACTCCTTACAACCAATCACTCTATCCTTCTCTTACCCACTCATAGCAGACTATCCCATCATTCTCCCATGCATCCAGACAACATCCACACATCCATACACTCCTGGCGTTATCTGTTTTATTGCACCTGAAATGCTGCCTCTTGAGAGACAAAGAGTTGCTTTGTGACTTGGAGCACATGGTGTGCAAAAATGGGATTATAGATAACATCATTTAGTACTCTTTTTTGAACCTATTCTAGGGTGCAAGGAAGACAAGGGTGAGGGGACAGAAAAATAAGTATACTTCATCAGGGCTCAGAGGGATCTGTTTTTTTATCCCTGCTTACTCTGTATTTAGTTTAGAATATTCCTTTCCCCTATACCCTGTAATGTGTAGAGATAAAAAGCAATAAAAATGTTTTTAAAAAGGGACTTGGATAGCAAGCTTTGATAAAGACCTTTCTCACCGTGTTTGCCAGTTCCATCTGATATATATTCTTATGACCTAGTCACATATCTACTCACTGACAGGGATCCAAAAAGAACTCTAGCAGTTGCAAATTTCTTTTACTTCTTTTGTCTATTGGGTGATAAGTGATTAACAACTATTCTTTGCTCAAGATTGATATATCATAGAACTTTTATTGGATAAAAGGAAAGGATGAAGACTTTTCTCTCCATGACAGTGTCATTCTGGGTACACAGTACCAGGCTAGGTTGACCGAATGGTCTGACTGTGTATTAGGCAACTTCATATGTGTGTGTTAGAAGGAGGAAAGTCCAGAAGCATTTTTAGAGATTCAGTGGACAGTTCAGTAATCCCAGTTGAATGCTAATGCAGCACTTGCTTTTGTATAGGTCTCTTTCCAGAGAGTTTCTAATATTATGTTTGTGGTTTTTTGTCTTCCCCGCACCCCTCTCTGTCCTTCCAGGTTATGTGTTCTGTATGTTGCATCGCCTGCCTGAACAACACGATTGCACATTTGATCACATGGGACGGGGGCGTGAAGAAGCCATTATGAAAATGGTGAAACTGGACCGGAAAGTGGGGCGATCATGCCAGCGCATTGGCGAGGGATGCTCCTGAGTGCAAGACTCTACAACCAAATGCCGTTCTCTTAGTTCACTAATGTTAGCCTTATTTAGGACAAAGTCAGCCAGACACCTTGTATTGGGCAAGTTTCAGACTACAGCCAATCAGTTTCCTTTCTTTAGTCAACCATCCTGGTACTGTAGTTTAGGGGTTAATGGTGATTGACATTGATTTCTGGCTGGTTGTTAAGGTGCCTGCTAGCCACCGTATTAAAAAAAATGAAGAAATATTTTTGAGCATGGCTAGTGGATTTTAACAAAAAATCTAAAGGCTTCTATTATGACAGGAGTCAAGCTCTTTAAAAGCCTTATGCTGGTAAGCTTCCAGCAGCTGAGTAGAAACTGATGTAAAAGACTGCTATGTGCACAGCTCTCTGGAAGAAAATACATTTAATATCCCAGTTTTCCTATCCTCATTTCTAGCTAACCTTGAAGGGGTGAAATGCTGCCAAGACTAGGCAGTGTAGCTGCTCAAGAAGAGCTAAACATTTACTTTTGAAATCTCCATGTGTGGCTTCTGGGGTTAGGTAGCGTCACCAGCATCAGGGAATCTCTTGGGGTAGGAATATCTTTCTGAGAAGCCAAAAAGAGACAAGGACAGATTCTTATGACAACTTTTGTATCAAATGCATTACAGGGAACCTGTTTCTTCATTTAAGTGGAGGAGGATGGTCTTGCTTTTAAAGTTAGCTCTGTTCTGGAACAAGCAGTAAACATTTTCTACGCAGCATCTACAACATTTCTTCAAAGTAGTGTGATCCAATTGCATATGCCAACCACTGCGGCTGGTCCATCAGCCAAACCCTGATTGGCTCTTGTTTGCCTTTTGCTAAGTGCAGGTATCTGAGAATTGATCAAATAAGGCTAATTCACAGCACAGTAGCCATGGCTGGTTCCTGCAGACTGACTTTCTGTAGCTAGAGATATACTGAGGGGAAAAGAACATTTCGTAGCAAACAGAATTCAGTAACAGTATTGGGGAACAACCAGGAAAATCACCCCTTATTATTGAATTGCGTTTGTATGCCTCCCTTCCAATGTGTTAAGGAGATAATCATATGGCTGTTCCAGCCTTGTGTCTATGCAGCTCAGCACTCTCAGTGAAGGTTTCTGCCCATCGTCTCTTGCTAAGCAAATGATTGTGGAATGCATTGCATAGAACTGGGACTCCCCAGATCTGTTCTTTAGAGCTATTGTTCTGTTTTGGAGCAGTCTCATTGAACTGAACTGCACAAATCATAAGTGTGCATCGCCAGAGAAAAGGCAGCAACTCCCTCTGCCTCCAGCCACATGCAGAGTTTCTGTAGGAGAATTTGTGTTCATGGTGGCCCAATGTGGAATTTTTACCCCAAACCACGTAGAGCACCGTTAGCAATTGGGAATTAGGTATATAGTTGGGAGGGGAGGGAGGGTTGCTGGAGGAAGGGGGAAATTGTATTGTCGCAAATTTAACCTGTTTGTGAAAGTATAAGCCACCAGAAGAGTGAATTACCCTCCTGTCACTCTAAAAAAGGTTATGGGATCGAGCTGTTTAACCAAGCCACTGACTGTTCCAATTATGCTGAAGGTAAGCGATTGGTTTACAGGCCAAACTGTATGTAGTCTGATAGCCAACTTATGGCCAGTGAAGGAGGCTCAACCTTTACCTATATTTCTGCAGTGCAAATTAGTGATTAAGTAAATCAGAAATATCCCATCACTCTAAAATTCAGTATGGAAAAGCCATTCTGTGTTGAACTCAAGGCTTTGAAATCTGCAATGGAATTTCCAGCTGCATATTTTGTTTCCTAAGGAAGTATTCCCCTTCCATTGGCGTGAGGGGAAAATCAGACAATTTTCTTTGCATTTGCCATGAAGAGTTTTAAAAACCATGGACTTCAGCTGCTGCCGCGCTATGCACTTTCTTCCCTTCTAAATCCTAGCATAGCATTTGATGGACATTTTGACTGATACACAAGACTTTTGCAGATTAATAATGAAGATACTATTTTTCCCTTGTTAATCCTTTCTTTAGCCCTGTTACAAAGTGCACAGTTGGTTTCAAGGTGGCTCTTGAGCGAACACTACTCAAAGTTCATGTGGATTATGGACAATGTTCACTTTAAAAAGAGTTTGGGGGTTGTTCCTTTGCAGTATCTGTTCTGTGAAGTTTGTTAAACATAAAGAAAGCTTAAGTTCTTGTATCTTTAAAGAAAATCTTATTTAACCCTTTTTTGTGTTCTAGATTTACTTACACATGTAGCCTAGAGCTCAGTTTTAGTTTAACATTGTGAAAATATTAAAAGGATCTTGTAATTCTTTTTCCTCCTGCTTAAAAGAAAGAAAACCATTAAACAGATCAGATTAAAGTTTGAATTCTTCTCTTGAGTCCTGCAACAGGTGTTGCTCATCAGCACAGTTTCTGCTGTGGCTTGTTAATTTAAAGAAACAACAACACTGATCGAATGGGGAGGGAGTGTGCTGACAGGGACCTCATCACTAATCCACAGGCTTCAAATCTAGTAGTACCTGTTGTTTGGCTTGCCTGCTTCAGATTGACAATCTTTGGGAACAAGGAAGCCAAAAATAAGCATTCAGTTCTTTCCCACGGGAAGCATTGACACCTAAGGAGTTAGCCAGCTTGAACTCAATATTGCACTCTGTGTAAATAAATCCAATTAAATGTAAAGTTAATTTCAAGAGTGACAGGCCCTTCTAATATTAGTTACTTCCAGGAGCCAAATACACATTGGAATTGTGTACACACGGACTTCATTGCTATGGCATAAAAAGGAAATTTGTTATCTAAAGCAGATGTTCCTCAATTCATTTCAACAGCATCTTCACCTGCAATGTCACCCCTGTACCTGGAGTCTAGTTTTCTTGGTTATTAAATGTGTGCATGACTGAATTGCATAATAAAACTGTAAAACAAGCCCTTGGCTATTAGAGACAAATTTTAAAATGTGCAGTCATTTCAGTGAAAGTGCAAGCTGTGAATAGGGAGATGACAGCAAATTAATAGTATCCTTTAATTTTTATTTGATATGAAATGTCCCCTACAAAAGGGGATGCCATAGCCCTGTGTTTTTACACAGGGCACAGTGTGTGCATGAGCATGCAATGCATACCACTTAGCAATAGTGCAATTAGAACTATTTGGGGAGTTTTGCTAGATATATTCTAGCATATAAATGAAGATTTTCAAAAGAATGCTCCCCATTAATTTATTGTTTTCATCTCTGAGTTCAATAACTAAATTTGTCGGTTTGAGGCTTCCTTTAACATGATTCTAGTGTGCTGTTGTGTTTTTTCCCATATGCCCCTAAAATACAATCATGTTCATGATGCAGCCCAAGAGCTATTTTGTCCACACAGAGAATTCCACCAGTCTACAATGATACTTTATTTACTTACAACATTTATATTCTGCATTTCTGCCCAGTCACAGCCACCAAGGTGGCTAACAATTGAGACAGCGCAATAAAAATACATCATAAAACCAGTCAAGAACCAAATCAAAAATGCATGCAGAGAAATAGAGCAAATTAACCCTGACATACCTAGCAGTACTTTCTTGTGGCCCCAAGATAATATAAGTTTACCATCACTGAGCTTATTCTGTCTTCTACGCTTTCTGCCCAAATGTGCGTCTATACAAATGAAGTACAGCTTGTTAGATTTGAGTTGTAAAATTATGCCTAAGGATGTACAGGGTCTCTGATAGAATGCACATGTTTCTGTAATTTGTGATTCAGGCAGGTATCTTCCTGTAATGACTAAAACCTACGTGTCTTCCTTAATTTTCTGTACAATTGAAATTTAGGGTGGATTCAGACAGTTGATATCCCAACATATGCTGACTTTTGGAGGTGTTCAGATTAACTTGCCTAAATGAATCCAGTGCACAATGGTTTTAACAGTTATTCAGTTTTGACTGTTGGTCCAATGAGCATTGATTGTAGCATTCCATAAGACAAATCAATATTTTAGGACTTCAAGAAGAAAAAGGTACATGTTAGAGCCTAAAACCAACTTTAGCTGCTGTACATGATGATCTAAAAAGAAGATACTGCTTTGTTTTATGTCTCTTTAATAATATGTTGGATGACTATTGCAAGGACTTAAAGCTATGGCATGCTGTGCTTCAAAGTTCTTTGAGAAACAATGATCTGTCTCTATTCATCCAAGAAGTAGTTGTTGTACAGAGTATTTCAACTGTTCTGACAGCATTCTTTGAATTGATTGATGGAAGGTAACACAAAAGAAAATTGATCACATGCACTGGCCCACACATGTGCATTGTTAGTATGGTAGCAGAACATCTGCCAAAACTTCACGTCAGTAGCATGCTAAAGATATAGTCTGATATATACAGATATATACAGCCTGGCACACATGAGGAAGTTATGTGTGTTTGAGCAATGTCAGAGTCGTGGAATTCTTATACGGAAAAGTACTATAGCCATAGCTCACATCATGTTTAAGTAAATCCATTGCATGGCACATTCTGGGCCAAGTGAAGCTTGATTACCTGCATTAATATATCATGCCTCTTGCTCTGTGAAACACCTGCCCTATATTTTGTTGTCCAGGTATAAGGCATACAATCCATCATGAAAAGTACTCTGAAGCCAAAGCAGAAGACTGAGACACACAATTTACATCTCTGAACCTGGTCTGAATCACAAAAATCAATGGCATGTGACTGTAAGACAAAGTGCAGTAGTGCTGTACAGTCTTGAACTTAGAACTGCGATATGAGATGAGGGTCTCAGATATTGGATTCTCATAAGAATTGCCTGAATCTAAAATGTTATTTAAATGCATGTTGAAACAGAACAAATTGCTTGGATAGAAACAGATGCTGCATTTTATATTTAAAAGGGATTAAATTTTGCTGAGGAGTTTTCTGTTTTGATCTGACTGTTGCCTATTCCAAGGTGTTGAATATGTTGCCAGATAGGCGTAACTTTGATAAATCATACATCTAATTCAAAACAGTGTAAACCCTGAGAAAAGGAGTGTTTAAAAAATAATTGCATTCAGCAGAACAAAGCATTTGTCAGATGTTGTTAAACTTTGAATGTGTTGATTTAATCATAAATGTGAGATACTAATCTGTTGCCTTCTGCAGTGATTAAAATGACACCATTCAGTAGAGGGCAGTAGGGGATTAGAGGATAAACCTACAATTCCAAACACACTTACCAGAGAGTAATTCTATTTAAATCAGTGGAACATCTGAGTAAACATGCGTAGCATTGGGTTACATAGCATGAAAAGAGTGTAGAAAATCAGTTCAGAGGGAAGCGCTTATGCAGAAACCTGAACAATAAATGGAACTAAGCAGCACAAAGGTGCTGATCTCACAAAAACCCAGAGGATTGCAGCAGGCAATCTGCAGCATTTGCTACTTCATCTCTCTTTCATGAGATTGTTAATGGTCTCTAGTACTCTAGAGCTGCTTTAAAACTACACCCCAAGATC